ACTTAACTTTTCTCTATAGCAGTTATATTGTTTTTTTCCCCCCCCCTTTCCCCCCCCCCCGGGTAGAATGCGAGTTCTGAGATTCAGGGATTTTTATGTTTTTTTTTTTCAATTGTCTATTACAGAGGTTGGCACATAGTAGGTATGCAATAAATATTTGTTGAATAAATGAACTGTAAAGCCATTGGAGGATTTTAAACTGAGGAATGGCATGATCTGACTTGTTTCAAACAGTATCATTTTGGCTGTTGGTGTCTAGAACAGACTGCCAGAAGGGCAATGGTAGAGGCAGGGAACCCAACTAGAAGATTAATACAGTAGTCCAGGTGAGAGTGAAGGACACGATAATGAGTCAGGGATGACTGCAAGGATTCGGTTTGGGCAACTGGAGTTGCTGTTTACTGAGAGGAGGAAGACTGGGAGAAACAGGTTTCAATAGAGAGATCCAGAATTGTCAAGAGATTAGGCTTTCTGGAGAGTGTGGTGATGCCCAAGAAGATTAAGCAAAGAATGAGGAGTGGGGCGGAAAAAGAATTACAGGTAAAGGGAGCAGTAGTGAAAAATGCATGGAATACAACAGCATGGCTGTTTTTGGCTGGAACCAAGAGAAAGTTAGTAAAATCATTAACAGGAAGGCCTCAGCTCCCTTCAGGAGCTTAATTCTTAGCCTTGCAAGAACAGCTCTCCCCTTTTAACAGATGTGGAAGTCTGAGCTCAGTGGGATACACTTAATTGCCTTAAAACTATCATGCTGGAGTTTGAATATAGCTGATCTCCACACATCTTTGAGCTGTTTTCATTAAATTACCTTGTGGTAGTTTCAGTCACTGAATACTTTGAAAAAAGTTCTCTAGATTAGAATGGTTTTGGGGTATTAGATCTGTTAAAATATCCATTCATTCAACAGTAGTTATTTAAGTACCTATTAATAGGGGACTTCTTTTTATTTTATTTTTTTTGCGGTACACGGGGCTCTTACCGCAGTGGCCTCTCCCGCTGCGAAGCACAGGCTCCGGACGCGCAGGCTCAGCGGCCATGGCCCACGGGCCCAGCCGCTCCGCGGCATGTGGGATCCTCCCGAACCGGGGCACGAACCCGCGTCCCCTGCATCGGCAGGCGGACCCTCAACCACTGAGCCACCAGGGAAGCCCAATAGGGGACTTCTTTAAATGTCCTGGAAATTGAGTTTTTAAGGCTCTATAAATTTAATACTTTATGAAGAAACTGGTTGCTTTATCTGTGGTTTTCAATCCTTACCTGGAGAACTTGTTAAATGACAGATTGGTCCCTCACCTGATCAAAAATTTAGCATTTCTTTCTTTTTTGAGGTGGGGCGGCGGGCACGCCTCATGGTTTATGGGATCTTAGTTCCCCAATCCCTGGGGACGTGGCAGTGAAAGCGCAGAGTCCTAACCACTGGACCGCCAGGGAACTCCCCAAAATTTAGCATTTCTAACAAGTTCTCAGGTGATAGCGATTCTGCTCTTCTGGGGACCACTCTTATCACTGCTAGTAGAAGAGAATGGAACATCAAACAGCCATGTCTGTACCAGACTTCATCCTTTGTGAAATCACTGACCCTTAGGCAAGACTAACCCTCTCCATCTGGATATATTAGATCTACTCATGCTGTACAATTTGTAGGGAAAACTGCATGGCAGGATTTTAGGAGGAAACATCCGACTTTTCAGTTCCACCTCTCCATTTACTAGCTGTGTGACTAGTCAAGTTATTTAATCTTTCTGAGCCTTGGTGTCTAAAAAGCATTGTTCATATCTACCTTTGGGTTGTCTTAACAACAAGATGTAACACATATAAAGTAACCTGGTACACAGTAATTTCTTCTCCAGTTGCAGCACCCTAAAGGGAGAGAGGCATGAACCTCTCTCCCTTTAGTTTTTATTCCATGTAATATTGGATCGCCTTCATTTTAAATATTGATATACAGCCCAAACTTCTGGCCTTGTTATCAGTTGATTCTTGAAATTAGTATGGACCTTATGCTATGAAAGCAATCTATCTTGGAAGTGTATTTAATATTTGATTGCTTCCCAGCATTTCTCAAATTTCAGAAAAGAAAAAATAGAAAGTCTAGATAACCCCAATAACTTTATCTAAATACCTCATTTATTTAAGTCTAAGATCATATATGACCATAAATCATAGATGGAGAATTCTAGATCTCAGCTCTAGAATGTTTCAGTAACTTTCTCATAGTTTTTCAAAGCATAACATTTGTAATATGTGCAAATCACCGTAATTAACACAATATCTGTTCTTTCATTTGCAGTGCTCTCATCGTATCAGAGTTTCTCTCTACTTCAGCCCCAAGCTGCAAGTTATAGCAAAAAGTGTAGGAGGTTTTCCTTTGTTAGTGAGCCAAAAGAGTAGAGCCCTCATGCCCAAGGACCCCACTTTTAGATACAGATTACTAATTGGTTTCAACGTTTTCCCACTGAAATACTTCTGTAGGAAGTAATTTTCATAATTTACATCTTATTTCAAAGCGAATTCAGTCTTTAAGTTCCACCAGAGGTTCTTCATCTCTGAAGAATTACCAGTGCAGATCAGTCCATCCACTGTCTTGCAGAGTTCTGATATTTGTTTTCCACCTACTAAGTTTCCAGAGGGTACTATTTCACACTGAAACCACTTACCTGAAATGACTTTGGTAACCAGTGTTCTATCAACTTGTAATTCCTGCATATGGACATTAGTTTAAATAATGTCGAAAAAAATCTATTTTGTGTAGACTTTTAGAGTTTTCTATGTTCTTTAAAATCACTCAATAACCTGAATATGGTAATATTAACTGAAATACCTCATTCTCTTATGAAACATAATAGAAATTTCTTAAACATATACCTTAAGCCTAATTCCTTTTGAAGTAATGTGCTACATAAAACTGAACAACTTCATTACCAACAAGGACAATGTTTTATTGAACAAATCTATGTACAGTACAAAAAATTTCTTGAAATGAGACACTGTTGATTTATTGCAGTTCAATGGCTCAGTTTTAATTTGTACTCTTATAAAATGCAAAGTAAAATAATTTAATGTTCAACAAGGAAGCACAAATTTCCTTTCTTGCTGAATCTGTAATATCTTTCACATATTAACAATTCCAAAATGCATATGCAGCATTTAGTCATTCTGAAATGGTGTTTTACAGTACCAAATAAATTAAAAAATAAACACTACCATCCCTTTTAGGTTTTTCACCCATACTACAGTTTGAACCAAACATTAAAGGAGTACAGCTGAACCTTCAAGTGTGATTTGAAAAGAATCACAAGTTCAATGTTATGTTTTCATTATATAATTGGTGGTTTAAAAAAAAAAAAAAAAAAAGAATATGACTGAAGCCCAAAGTACCAGTGCCCCTGTCCACGAAGGTTCTCCTTTTCTATCTTCTCCATAATATCTGAGCAGCAAAAATTCAGATTTGCTATTTTTTTGACCTTACTGAAACATAGCAGAAAGTTAATATTTCAAAGAAAATTTTTATTTGAAAATGAAGGATGGAAACTTGGTCCATGTAAGATAAACACATCCTTAAAATAGGAGGAGTAGAAAAGAAAAAGAGAAGAATTTGAGGAATAAGAAGAAAGCTTCCTTTGTCTTCTGAATTCCACATTGGAACTGTTGGAAGTTTATGCACCCCGTAAAAGCAAAATGATGTAGTTTATGTTTTATAAGGCATACATAAGAAAATGTACACATTCTTTCAACAGCAATTATTTGATAAGTATATAAAGAGGTTAGAACAATGTGGTCAAATAGAATTTTATAAAACATTCCTTGATCTAGTTATGTATAAACCAATTTGATCTCAGTCTTTCAGAAAGTTTTCCCTTACCAACACAAAAGTAGAAATAATACCTCAAAGACAAAAAAATAACAAGTGGAATATGTTTAAAACATCTTGGTATGAACTGCAAAATGAATGAAAATAATTTGCAGACATGGATTTATGTCAATAGTTACAACTTATAAAAAATAAAAAGTTAAAAATGTGATAAAATGTTAAGCTGTGATTTTAAACATCTGGAAAATGTACAAAGCAGAACTATTTCAAAATAACTTCATTGTCCATATGAACTAGTTTCCAAATACTTTTTATTACATGATGTATTTTAGACTGAACTGAAAAAGAACTCAAGTATTATATTTTTAGTATCAGGAAGTATGGAAAACATTTTTTTCTTTAGTTGACCTTAAAGGATTTAAAAACCTTATCGAGTTACTTATGTTTTTAAATGTAAATTCCACAGCCTAATGTAGGCTACATAACAAAACAAAAACCTGATTTGATTGATACGGACTTATGACTATCAATTGCATAGTAGTGAATGCCTATGATAAATAAACTAATAAAATTGGGTAGTTTTTTAGATATCTGATTTATCATGACCTGGAAATCCTAATTTAATAAAGCCTGGATGCTACCCTGGAAGAAAAGTCACACTTCCTTAGTGACTTCATTCAAGAAGCTTTAATATCCAGAAATTTATAATAGTAGGGTCTGATGAGATTATATACTTTGAACAAGAATGTATCAGTTGGAATAACTGGAATATCTGGTTGACATTGGTACATTAATAGCTCTGTTTTTGAAGAATTTGCCTTTGCATTTTTGTTCATTTTACCCCTGCTATAGATTAACACACTGTTAGGTAAAAGAAGTCTTTAAGCTTCCTCTTTTAAAGACTATACAAGTGGAACACATCTGAGAGGGTATTTTTAAAAACCTTTTTGTTTTAACGATTTATTGACTATTAAGTTAAAATCTTCCTTAGGAAAATTACTGGTCATCAAAGAAAATAAATGCATCAATATATCTTACTGTGTTCTTGCTGTGCAAATTTTTGTGTAAATATTTCTTTTTATATATAAAAATTACTATTCAGACCAAATTCATCAGAATTCAAATTCATCAGAAATAAATAAGAAAGCATAAGTAATATGGCTTATTTTAGAATTAACTCTCCTAATTGAATAAAACCAATGAATTCTTGACCGGATTCTTAGCTGCAAATTTTTTTTTATAGTCAGTTATTTTTATAGGACTGTACTTAGATAACTCACATTAATGTCTAAAGGACCTTACTATGAATCATCAAGCAATGTCCTAACACTATATACAAACAGAAATATCCCAGTGTGCTTATACCATTATTCACATTGAAGAATTTGCAATTCAGTGTTTTCTTTCAATGAAGATAGCCTTTAATGGTCTTAGATCCTCCCATCTCTTCCCAGAGTTACTGATAATAAGTTTTCTATTAGCGCTGCTGCCTTTTAAATATAACTCATTGGTATTATAAAAATGGAAAGTGGAAGGTTCTGTCAAGAGCTTATTAGCAAAGCACTGTTGTTTTGTCTTCTTTTGTTTGTAAATTTTAAATGCTGGTATGTCATTGAACTTTGACCTAATCAATCATCTGGAAACAAGGTACAATCTTTTATAGCTAGTATGGTGATAAATCGTTTTACTTTTATCTTATGAATCAGTTTCTAAGTAATAATAAACCAAACAGAAATGGTTCCTTAAAGCATGTTTGACCAGAAAGGAGGACATAATCTGATTAGGCATGACAAGAAAACAAACCCTATTTGTGGAATACTTTTAAGTTGTTTATTGTAAACCACCCCCCCCTTTTTATAATGGGTTTTTCCCTTTCTGTAAGGCCATAGCTGGTTATTCTTTTTGACTAGTTGCCTGCATATGTTTCTCACATAAGCGAAACTGAACATGCTGCTATTAATCATCATCGACTTCTTTAAAAAAATGTGGTTTTTCTCGATAACTGGTACTTTGGGAGTTTTGTAATAACCCTTTTGGAGTCTAAACCAGCACATCTCCTCTGTGGGTTCATTCTAGAAAATGTGCTTTGTCTTTATCTTTAGTAATCCAAGACCGCTCTAAAATTAAGGCCATCAGGGAAATAGCAAACTGATGATGCATTTTCTTGTAGTGCTTTTTGCACACTACTGCTTGATCGACAGATCGTTCTGAAACATTTTTATCAGGCACCTGTAAAACAGAACACGTCTGTTAATTCATATTTATAGATGTTCATCTAGTATTCTAAGTTAGATTTCCTGTTTATTTTTACCCTTACTCATTTAAAGAATATTAATATTAGTAGAAAGGCAAGCTCTTCTTTTGCTCAGTTTTATTTTTCAATTATTTTCTGGTTCTTTCTTATTTTTGTTTTTGTAATAGAGGCTCAACTTGGTTTACATTTCTGGCATGCAGATGAAAAACATTTCCATCATAATTACTTTGTTTTTAGATCTCTTATTACATAAAACTTGGAATGAAGAAAAGCCTCAGATACCGTTAAAGAGTATGATCCAAAAGTATGAAAAAACTGTGTTCAAGTTCTGGCTTCCACAAGTTCACAGGTGTATTATGCCTATGCAAATTACTTGTGAATGTCAGTTGCTTGATCTATAAAACAGGAATAGTGATAGCACCTCATGGTGGTTGTATGGATTAAAGGAAATAATGTATGGGGGTAGTGCTTTATTACCTGTGTTATATAAATGTTAATTTTTTTAACCTTACAAAGATCTATGGCATTTTCTATTTCTACAGATATACCTGCTGAGAAGACAGAAGACTTACTTTCATCATCTGAATCAAATCCAAAGAGTGTCTGACATTTCTTTTGTGCAAGGTGAGCCTCAAGTGCTTCTGCATTACAGTAGGTGGTCAGGCATTTGCCACATCTTAATCTTTTCACTGATTTTTTACAAACGTTATCTTGATCAGAACAGGCATCTACCCTATCAGTCAGAAATTTTCTGCGTTTTGGCATACTAAGGTACCGTTCATCAAGGTAACTGGGAGGCAATGGTCTGACATACGGCTTTGTTAAAATTAAGCCATATGAAGTATGTTCACTCGTCTGATTTGGTTTGGAAGGTGCCTGAGGTACTGACAGGGTACTGTGTTCTTGTGGTACAACACTAGGTAAAATGGAACCGTTTTCTGTCCTGATTCTACTTGTATCAATTTTCAAAGCAGGATCTGAGGAAACTAAAGGTGTTTGCTCTATTCCACTGTGTCCATTGACTAAATCACTAATACAATTATTTTCAGAATTTGGCTCTATGTCAGGCATCTTTTGGTCTGTCAAGCTTATATCAGAAACAGTGTGATCAGAATGTTCATTTCCATTCTGAACTAAACGGTCTGTTTTCTTTTCCATACTTTCTATACATGTCTTTGGTTCTGTAGGATCTTTCCTTGATTTGCTAGTAGAAACTGATAGACTAACAGTTTGTTTCTCATTACTAGATGAGTCTTTTTCCTGATGATTAGATTTTGAGTCTGTAAGAACATCCCAAAGAATTGCTTCACTTGGTTGTGCAGATGATTCTGGTGTTTTACTTAAATAGTGCTGAGCTTCATGTTCATATAGCAGAGGAAGATCTTCAAAAAGCTCATGGCATTCTGGAAAACTACACTGAGCCTGAAATATCCTGTGACTTTTTGTGTGCTGAGCAAGTTGGATTGGCAGCTTAAATGACTCATTGCAATTAAAATGCAAACAAAAGTACACATTTGGATAGCTGTGTCTATTAAGGTGATCTATAAAATGTTGAGAATCTTCAAACTGCCTTTGACAAAATTTGCATTTTCCTTTGCTCCACTTCATTACTGTTTGCCGCACATTTAAATCAGTTGGATGTACAGTCCTTGCATGCTTATTTAGAAATCCAATTCTTTTAAATATCCTGACACAGCCAAGAGCGGGGCATTTAAAGTTTCCTTCTTGATCTGTCGCATAGATGTCTTTTGGATGGCACACGGTTCCATTGATTTTATGAAGTACTGAAGTTTCCTGATTCAGGTCGTAATCATCTTCTTCATAATCACCTTCTTCGTCTTCTTCCTCCTCATAGTCATCCACACATACAGGTAATGGCTCTGAGACATTATTTAAAGAAGTATCAGGATTGCCATTTTCAGTAATATTTTCAATAACATCTTCTGATACAGTTCCGGGAATTTCAATGAATTCACCCACATGTGAAGGGATGACATCTTTGTTTCCATCACTGGAATGGGTAATAGTCTCTACTTCCAAATCCTTATTATCAGACTTCCCATTTTCAAATGAAATGAAATTATCAGAACAATTTATTTCTTCCAAAGCAGGATTTTCCTGATCCTCCTGTTGAGCTGCAGCAAGTTGCTGTCTCTGTATTTTCTTAACATGATTCTTTAAATGCTTCTGCATAAGTCCTCTGTTTCTAAATTTTCTACCACATATCACACATGAAAAACTGCCCTTTTTCTGATGAGCCTGGGCATGCCTTACAATGTGACCACCTAGAAATTCCTTGTTACATAACATACACCGATGCCTTGGGACATTGTGATCTACTCTGGAAGCATTAAGAGCTGTGAGGTTTTTCTTTGCATTAATATGACTTTTTGGTTGCACTCCAGATATATCATCAGGATCAAGCTCTCCAGTGCTCTGATCTGTAAGAGAGTCAAGTCCTTCATCTAAACCTTGCTGTTCCACTGCCTTTTTTACATTACCTGTAGAATTTTCCAGTGTACTTTCATTTAGAAATCTAACTGCTGATTTATCACTCAGTAACGCTACACAGTTTTTCTTAATCATTATGAAGTTCCAGAATTCAGGATCAAAAAACAATCCCTTTTTCAAAATTGGAAGTAATTCAAAACGAACACGATTTTGAACACTACTTGTGCCTTCATTATATTCTTCATCTGGACGTTTGTAAAGCTCTTCAACAGTATGATAAGCTTCCAAGGAGCGCTCAAGAAAAAATATTGAGAGTGCACAAATCCTGAGAATCTCCAAATCATTTGGCAAAAAATGTGCAATTGTTTTATAAATTAGACATTTAGTTTTGGGATCATCATGAAGGTCTAGCTGTAGAGCACAACCACATATTTCAACACAAATTTGTAAGCCTTCTTCTTCAACCTGTAAAAAGAAAAATATTACTGCTACTTCTTAAAAAAAATTATTAACACTTACTAGTTTATCCTTTTAAAATACTGGGTTGGCCAAAACGTTCCATAGCATCGTATGGAAAAACTCGAACAAACTTTCTGGCCAACCCAATACGACTCTGAAATGAAAGCTAAATAAACACAGTATTCTAAATGTGCAATTTTCTTCAATGGGTAGCCATGTTTAACTACTTTTTAATATATAAATAAATCTTTTTAAACTTGAGAATAACCTGGAAAAGATAGTATTTTAGCTTCCAATTTATTTAATTTTCAAGTCTGGCAAGCCCTACTGACCATAATACAAAATGCTTCATAACTTTATGGTTATTAAAATATAAAATGCTTCATGAACTTATGGTGATTCAAGTTTCTTACATATCTAGGCCCCTGTTTTAAGGTACCAATCTTACATTCTGTGGCAGAAGGGTTAAATTATATGTATTTACAAACACAGTTACCAATTTTTTTGTTTTGTTTTTGTTTTTGTTTTTGCGGTACGCGGGCCTCTCACTGTTGTGGCCTCTCCTGTTGTGGAGCACAGGCTCCAGACGCGCAGGCTCAGTGGCCATGGCTCACGGGCCCAGCCGCTCCGCGGCATGTGGGATCTTCCCGGACCGGGGCACGAACCCGTGTCCCCTGCATCAGCAGGTGGACTCTCAACCACTGCGCCACCAGGGAAGCCCAGTTATCAGTTTTTGATGTTAAAAAAATACTAAAGTAAAAACAAAAAGAACTGCTTATGGAAACTCTTTCATAAAGCTGCACTAAATATTACTTATTGTACTTATTAAGTAACATTATCCAAATAAGGGGAGAAGTGTAATCCACATGACGAAGGCAATTATAAACTTTCCAAACCTAATAAGGTATCAGAATAATGAACCTACTGGAAGTTATCTGAAAAGTATTCAAGTTTTGAAACTTTTACTCATGACTCAAAGATAACTGCATCAGCTTTTAGTTGGGAATTTGTTGTCTATCCACCTTAATTCAAGTTATAATTAATGCCTCTAGAATGATCTAAATGCTTGTTTGAATAGAAAGAGATAAAATAATAATATGTCTTTAACAGTTGTGTCTGTGTATCATATTGCCTGCATATGGTATATTACAGATGACAGGGAGGAACACTACCTTGCCAGCCTCATGTCCTCTTAGTTCCTTATGTGCTATGCAACCCTTACTTACAGTTCCACAAGCAGACCTTAACTGCATACCACTTTACCTCGCTGGTAAATTCCTATCCATCTCCTATTCATTCTTTGAGAATCAATTCTGCCTTGAAAGTTTTTCTGATTCATTCTGGCCCCTACCTTAGGGTAAAGTTTAAAACATTCTCTATTCTTTCCACTGAGAATAATTTATACTTATTTCTAAAAAGCATGTAATATTGTTTTATAATTGTCTACGCCCCTACTTCTTGACTTGGAATTCCTAAATCACAGGGACAGTATCTCATTTTTCATATCCTTCTGTGGTTAACATAGGAGTTGACATACAGTGACCTTTGAATAAATGTTTGCAGAATGAATGAGATCAGATATATTCCACTGATTTAGTCTCCTATAAATCCACCATTTCCAGCTTGGAATCCTTTTCTGAATTCAAATTTCTTATTTCTATAATTGTCAGTTATAAAACCTACCTAGATTTTCCAGATATAGCAAATTCAAATCCACTGCTTCAAAACAATTCATTCTCTTTGTCCAATGTTCTATCTACATCCTCTCTTTTCTCATGAAATTATAATGTACTCACAGTTGCTGAGGTTTAAAAATTTCAGGATCATCACAAAAGGGAACAGGCTACTTTCTTACCTGAAAGGCTTTAACAATTCCAGTATATTTATGGACTGACATTTCCATTTTTAGAGTAGCATTCAGTCCCTGTAGGGTCTATAGCAAACCCACCCCCCAACCCCACAGAAACTAAACTCTTCGATTAGTTTCGTCATCCACACACTTCCCCGTTTCTGTGCCACCCTATTAATGCCACTGGACAGCTGTGAGAACCAAATAATAAAATGAGGAGAAGGGGCTCTGTAAACTACAAAATCCTCTACAAATATTAGTATTATCCTCCTCTATCATTTAAAACCCAGCTGAAAGCATCTTCCTCCATGAAGGCTTTTCAGATATGCTATCTGTAATGTCTCCTTCTGAACTCACACAGCATTGCCTGTGCCTCTTAGCACTGAGGCATGTGAATGATCTATTCCATCAGATAAAAATGTTTTTAATAGAGTGTATAAGAAATTAAGCACATTTAAAATATTTATTTCATCTTTGAATTTTTCCTCTTATCATGTATTCTTAGGTTGACCACACATGTGAAAGCGAGAAAGCTCTATGATAATTGGCTGAACTTCACCTATATTGTAAATTTTCTATAACAGTCTCGATTTTTAGTACAAATGAGAATCAGATGTTAATAAAACAGAGATAGATAAATATATTTTTTTAAAGTTTTACAGGTAATTCTAATGTACTTCAAATATTAAGAAGTATTCTATAGCATAGTTTTTTCCTTGTTTTTTTGGTGGGGAGAGAGGTTAACTTTGACAATGCATTTAAATGACATTTCACTCTTTAATAATGAAGCTATTAATGCAGTTACCAAAATAAATAGGAAATAAAACAAAACCAAACCCTCTGATATAATGCTTTTTATCACAGGAATATGATCACTACATGGTCATACATCTAATGAGTGATGTGATAATGAATGTAATAAATGCATAAATATGTAAAAAAATTAAAATATATTATTTAATGGATGCCTCCTTATATATTTAAAAGTAACCCACATAAAGATTCAGTTAAATGGAGCAAGATTCAGTTAAATGGAGCTACCTAAAATGTAAGGTAGCTTTATCTTTCCTATCTTTGTACTCAAAGTTCTGTTAATACTTGAGGAGAAAAAGTAAAAGGATCTGTAGGATCTACTTTCATGTCTATGTAAGAATCATATGTAGAATTGTACTCACTTGCCAGTGGCCCAGGAAAAACTTGCTTCAGAACTATTTTTAAAAACAGGTAATGGGTTTTTACTATTATTTTAAATAAACACTTTAAAAATTTGTCCTTAGGTTTCAAAAATGTCTCAGAATTCATTATTCCTTTTTACCTAAACACCAAATGTAAAACTATGAACTATTTCTCTATGATGGTGAACAGGTATTAGCTATAGTTACAAAGAGTTCATTTGCAAATTAGTTAAGATTCTACATACAGGACTTAGAATAATGTTAAAAGTGCCAGGCTTATTTAATTATAAGAAAAGAGATAACAGCTTCTTATGGAAGCAGTTCCCATACTAAACTTTATGTAACACTAAATTTTTTTTCTCTTTTTTCAGTTATTTTCATTTATGCATACTCTTTGTACCATGTTCGGAGTTTGAGGTGGGGGGGAGGGGAGGATATAATATATGGAGAATGTGGCCTTAAAATCCTCCTTTTCTTCAATTACATGATCAAATACATTTTACCACAAGAGATTCAAGTTTCAGTGAACTGTCATTTAAATTTAATTTAAAATGAAGGGATAAATATATACTATTTACCTCATCTTTAATGATTTTCATGAAAGGAAATATGACTCTCACATTAGTTGCTGTTCTTAAAAGCTGGTAGCATTGATCTACAAAAACTTGTTTTGAAGGATTAGACTTTAGCTGAAGTTTACTCCATATGAAAATCAGCTCCCTGTAAATGAGAAAAAAAGAGAAATATCAAAGATACAGTTTATTCAAATACAGACGTTAGCTGTCTTTCCCTGATTCTGTAGTGCCCTGGCTGGGATGTATACAAAGTGGGTGTAAATGGATATTAAGTTAACTTCCAGGCTACTTCCACTACCTATTTGGGACTAATAGAAGCTAGGAGAAAAGGTGAGATTAGAAATCGCAATTTGCTGTATGGAGTGCATTCTAATTATATGCCAACAAACCTAAGGCATCTCCAGTACTTGATCAAAACAAATTCTAATCTCAGTATACCAATATTAATGATATTGCTTAAAAAATTTAACTTTGACCTTTAATTAATACCCACTTGCAAATTTAGAAATCAATGTTGTAGAATTTCTGCAAAGAAGAAATGGTTCATACTTTTCAATCTATTAAGATACCAAAAGTACTACAGATTAAAAGTGTAAGTATATTATAGTACTGATTCTGAAATTTTGTTTTATATCATCTACTCTTCCATTAAGATGTAGTATTTTAAACAGACAAGCTATGGACCATTTAAAGTATTTCACAGGTAGATTCTTTTCTAAAATATGGCCAAGGTTGTTAGATGAACAAGGTAGGAGCAGTGGGTTCTGAGGCAAAGGAAATCATAAGATATAATTGTTACATTTGGATATCACATTTTAGCAAATTAGAATTCCTTGAAAATTGTCATAAAAGTTACATAAGACATCATAATCTAAAACGTATTAAAATAATTGATGAAAATGTTTAAAAAAAGAGTGATATACTGAGAATGTACTTTGAACCCAGCACATACAGCTATTAAATCTAAGGACAGCTTGACTACTATCA